AAATGGCTAAAGGATAGGCAGAGAGATACAGGACACATAGGCCAGAACTCTGCAGAAACTGGTTTTTATTAGACACTTGACTATCGCCTGTCCTCAACAGTTTGCTTCAGCTGCAGGTGGTTTATGCACTGTGGGTGTGTGCATGCACACAAACAGTTGTAAACCTATTATTTTATCAATTAGAAACTTTTTATTTGTTAAGTAAAATTGGAGCATGTTTTACCGCAGCTCATAACAACTGTGTGCCCGGGGAGTACCCATCAGGAGCAGCTAGTGCTATGCCATTGCAAAATGAGTGCAAGCACATAGCAGTGCTTTCATTCAGGAGAAAGTGCCAAATGTAATATCATCTGCTACACATTCCTAAAGACCGGCACTGGTTGCAGTCACATTTAGCTGTAATTAATTTTTAGCCACATTCCAGCTGTCCTATAGTTTCACAAAAGCCATGCAAAAATATCACAAGAAAGGGAATTGGAACAGGAAGAGGATTTTTCTGTTTCTGTATCCTGTGTTTAGAATTTGCCACAACTTTTCTCATCAGCYGAGACCTTTCTTGCGTACTTCTCCTAGGAAAAACAGCATTAGCAAAGTCACAACAGTAATGCCACAATGTGAAGCTCACACACCTCATTATTTTTCAGCAGCCTGGGTTTTTGTGTGCATGCAYGGGTCTGCCGACTCTTGAAGGCACCTTAGCTGTCCAGCTCAAGGGAACTACATCAGCTTAAATAGAAGCACTTGGGAAAGCCCCGTCGGACTCCTTAGGTGAGGTGAGCAATCCCTGCAGTGCCGTGGTTTTAATAGTGACACTCGGAGTTTGTGTGAAGTGCCACTTTTGTTTGTGTTTTTCGTATTTTCTTTCCCGTGGCTAGAAAAYTTTAAGTAGATGTTGACGCTACTGTGGCAGATTCTTGGAGACTTTAAAGTGATATTGGGGCTGCTGAGGTAGGCACTTGCAGGCAACAAAATCCCAGAGCTTTGTGCAGGTTTCCTTTTACTGTGCCATCCTTAATTATATGAGGAAATGCTACTTGGGAGTGTGGTGTCAGATTTCCTGTACAGCACCCTGCAGTCTTAGCTCTGCATTTTCCATTTCATTGAAGCCTGACTTAAATGCTCAAGTTGCTACTGTGCTTCAGAAGTGTGTTCTACTTGTAATTAATGTGACATGAAGAACAAGTCAATATAGTGTTTAAAGGCATTAGTCCCCCCWATTAAGCCCATTCCTAAATTCCATGCTGTGGGGACCTGTTAGTTCATATCTCCTTTAGCGTGGAGTTCGCATCTCACTTCTTGTTTGCAACACAGTTGAACCCTTGCTCCCAGCTCCTCCTGCCCCCTCAATGGAGATGAGATTTCCATGAGATGAGATTTCCATGAGATTTGGAGATTGTGCCAATGAATGGCAGAATCTCCACAAACGAGGCACTAAGGTGAGCATAGCAGAGCTTGGGATCTGTGCCTTGAGGCATTTTTCAGGTGCTCTTTGGCATAGCAAAGCTGGTGGGAAAGGGACAATCCAGCTTCCTCTGAGTGCTTGGAGTATGTGTGATAAAAATGCAGCATGAGAGGGGCTGCCAACAAGCACCCAGAGCGTCAGAGATGACTTTGTGCTGCTGACTTAGGTGCTGACATGCTGCAGCGTGAAAGAAGCTGGCCAGTTCTCTACAGGAGGAGGACGAAGCATGACCAGGGATGAAAAGGCACTTTGGCAATGCCTTCAGGTCCCAACTGAGGTCTTTTGAAGCCTCTTTACACCAGTCTGCCTGAGCATGCACACTGAGAGGAAGCCTCATGCTGAAGCACGGAATAGGAAGGAAAAAGGAGGAGAAAAGGTAATTCCCTAAGACCCCACATATGGCAGGAAATTGCCATAATCACAGCTCACACTCCTGCAGTGCRATGGATAAATGTGACCACAGGACTGATCTCTTGTCCCCACTGTGGTGGGACCCCACTCCGCCAGACCAAGACAGTGTACAGACATGACACTAAAAATGCAGGTGTGTCTTTTGTCTAGTAACTACTGTTTCATTTCACATACTTTTACGTAGAAAGGGTTGGATTATTTTGTATCAAGACAAAGGAAAAAAAAAATGTAACATTAATAGCAAAATTTCCCCTGCTTTGCTTTACATATATCCATTTTAGAGGTTAGGCTATCAGTAGTTGCTCTAGCCATGATTATTTTTRGTAGAGTAGTTCTCACCCGCCTTATATGCAAGTAATCTGTTTGCCTTCAGTCAGTCCACACTCACCGTGTACAGAAATGGCACTGTAATCCAGCCCTAGATCTACAACTTAATATTATGAAGAAAGTGGTAGTAAGCTCTGTTAGTTTATGTTAGCTGTGTAAAGATTATTTTATCAAAATACTGAAATTGTTTAGCTTATATTGAAAAAATAAGAATACATTTCTGTAAATATTTTGCTGGGATAGATTCTGATTTCTACTACTCACTGCTCAGTGATTACATTGTGATGATCTAAATACCTACAGTAAATCAAAAAAAAWTTTTTTTCAATAGCAGTGGCTCCGATGCTATCATTTTAAATAATGTTTTAAATATACTCATTTATAATGATTGCAACACCAGTACCTTCTGTGCAGAGAAATTAGCTGTCGTTATTCTTCATTTGAATTGAAATCAATATAGAAATATTTTAATATATACTCCTACAGCTCACCGATTCATAGATTTGAAGGCTAAAGGGAGATGTTACRTCAGTTTGTCTCGTCTCTTGTATATAAATTGTATATAGCAGTTTATACAGCTTCCTTAAAATAGACTGTACCAAATAAGCCTATCACACATAGAACTGAGACCTCACTATATATTCTGTGATCTTCACATAGATGTTCTTATTAATTCCTTCACAGACACCCTGTAATATTTCATATCCATATTTTGACACGTTTGTACCAAAAATTCTGCCAATTTACTCTACTTGTATATTGCTTCTCTGTGTTAACATTTCCTTTTGCATGCTTTATCTGAACTCAGAGAGAAAAGTGTGCTTTTTAGACAATCCTGTCTAAATAAAAAGGGGATTTTTTTCATTAGATGCTGGCTTGTTTTACATCACTAGTGAGGCACTAATGAGTTTCAGTGTAGCCAGAATTTCATCCTTCATTTATGTTAGGTGACCGTTGTTTTTATATAGGTACATTTCCACAATCAGGGTTTTCAACTAACACAGTCGGTGAAGGCATTTCCAAGGCTGGCTGACTGCATCAGCAAGTAGTTGGGACTTTTTGTCTCAGACTTTTAGCTGCAAAAGTTTGCCGTCTCACATAAATATAGAGCATCTTAGGTATCAGTTGGGGTTAGCCTCTGTAGTGAGAACTTTCAGCTACGGAATCATAAAGAAATGACAGAGTATCTCTTGCTTGCAGGTTCAAGCCTAATAACTCATTTGTWTCCTTCTCATATATCTTTTCCATATGTCGGTAAACATCACAAAGGTTTCATTTATGCCCATTTAATCCTGACAGGACTTAAGCACATAAACAACTTAGTATAGCATGGCTTACTCCATCAATTACGATGGACTTGCACACATGAAGATGAGTGCATGTGTGCATATGGTCAGCTTYCCAAAGCTTTTCTTTGGAAATTGCTTTTCCTAGGGGGTCTCCATCAGTGTTTTATTACTTTCAACAATTGGCTTTCTCAGTTTTTTTGYAGGGCTTCTTGTCAGTGTGCAGCTATACATGATATGATGACCACTTGCACATTTTACGCAAGTAACAGCACTCAAGTGACTCGAAGATAAGTGATGTGTTCTATTCTCTCCTCTTGCCCCACACATCCCAAAGGAGATGCAGTATAGCTGTGATGTCACTTTTATCTGTTCACCTTTATTTTTTACTGAATTAAAGTCCCATGGTGAACCTGTACCTTTTTTGTGATAGTGATCATAGTTTAACAGAGCTTTTAACTAACAGGACTGTATCTAGAACTTCCTCCACGCTGCCACTGAAAACAACTGTCTGCACATCTGGATAAAGAAATCTGTGGCACCACTCTAATTCTGTAAATCCAGATAGCCCAAGGAATTTGGGGTAGAATCTCAAGATAGAAAAAAAGTGCTTCTAATTTATATTATATGAATTATAAATATCATACAAGGAAAAAAATGCAGTGTAAACAAGACTCGGAGAACAAATGTCATTTTAAAGAARTCCCTATTTTTACAATCAGGTCTATTTTGTTGCAGACTTTCRTTGTGATAAGTTAATTCTGTAGAGGGAAAAAAAGCCAAGTCCTCTTGCCATCAAGTTCAATACCTTATGCATAAAAACTTCAAGTTTTTTTTGGCTTGCACAGTACTGAGCTTTCTGAAATACCAGACTTTCACATTCACTTCAGTTGAGTTTTCCTGGCAGAGCTGAGGGGAAAAATCATCCTCCAATAAAAAATGGCATTGCTGGCACTAAATACAAGCAGATACAAAATCCTCTCCACGTTTGTGAGCAACTTTAATGCTTTGCTGATGACCTCCTAGCATTCTGTTACTTCAACTGCGTCTGTCCTCCATGCACAACAGAAAATATTTTGAGAGCAGATGATATAGGAGATCTTTCTATAAATATCCATTTTAAATATAAATTTATTAAACCTATATATGTGTGTGTGTGGACACTTCTAAACATCTGTAGATAACAATGGAATTCACAGCAATCCTTCCTGCTTCCTTCTGGGCTGTGGAATTTCAGGGTCTGACTTGTTACATGAAGSAATCAAGATAAATGGAGCAAGTATGTCATGTTGTTTCAAATGCTGGTATAAATAAAAAGGGGGGGAAAAAAGCAGCAGCAATTCAGCACATCACAATAGCAAGTTAAATATAGCCAAGGATTACAGGGCCATTGTTTTCACTCCTGCTAAATAAGCCAGTACTCTTAAAATGGAACACCACTTGACCTTTCGAGCCTCATCAGTTTGTGATTGTGTTTRGCTAATGCCGGGAGGCAGCATTTTCCCCGTGGGCCTGTCCCGCGGTGGTGTGAAGATCGCCCTTGCTGGGCCGCACCATGCACCGCAGGCACAAACCCAGTGCTTCGGAGCACCGGCGGGATTTCTCAGCGCAGGGAGGGTCGCTCTCTGCCCCTCACAATGAGATGCGCTCTTTTTTCAACTTCTCACAGCTCGTCCTCTCCGCTGGCCATCTCAAATCACCACCGGTTCTCAAACATTCAAAAGTTACTTACTTCGAAGTCGAAATCCTTGACGTGCAAAGCAAGAAGCAGATCTGCATTGTGGACAAGGTGAGTGTGTTTCACTCTGATTTCATTTAGACCTCATGGCTGCACTGTGAACTCACAATACATCCTTGGCCCGTCTCTTGAAGCTTATGAGAGTGCAGTGTTTATTTCAGAGCATGATACTTAAAGACCTACTTGAGAATGGATATTCATTTTTTCAAAAATATATTTGTAAAGCTTAGCATCTCTGCAGTGTTGTAAATTCTTGTTAGAATCCAAATATATTCAGCTGAGCCTTAGAAGAAACGGGCAGGAACCTAGCAAGCTTTTCCTCTTCTTTTCTTAAACAAAAGGGCCCGGCTAAGAGTGAAGAGGTTTCTTTAAAGTGAATCAGAAAACATAAACAAGGATGAGAGACCCGGTTAGCAAGGTCTTACAGCACAGTTTGACAACAGCTGAAAAAATGCTTCATAAATCTTTTCATCTTGGCTTTTGTGATTCATGGTCGCTCTATAAAAGAGCTGACCTCTTGCACGCCGAGCCATGGAAGTGAGCATCCCATTTCCTTTGTAGACCACAGAAAAAGTCTGTGGCATAACAGAGCCTTGAGACTKACTGTTTTGCTTCAGATATTTAGTCTCATATCTTTGAAATATGCAAGGTGGATTATTAATGTGTTTCTTGTGCTTCTCATGTCTCCAAGGGTGGTTTTGTAATCTGTGTGGCTSGCCTGCGTGGTAGTCTGTGTAACCATATGTCATGGCCTGTATCACTTGGTACTGCCTTTTTTTAAGATATTGTGCAGTTGAAAGAGCACTTGTATAAGTGTCTTCCTAATGGAATAGAAGAAATATTCAAAAGGAATATTTCTTTCAAAAAGCAATGTCAGCAGATGGACCTACATGATCCCAAATCCTGTTTTTTTCTCACTATTTATTTATTTCCATGGATGAAATTCCCATCTGTACAGGGGAGCGTGTATGTAATTAGTGTTGATGAAAAATTTTGTTTAAAGGAGAAAACATGCAAAGTCTTAAAATTGAAACTCATCAAGTTTGAAACTCATCAAAATTGAGACTCATCAAGTCTTAAAATTGAAAAGAAATAATTGCTTTTTGTGTGTTTTTTTTTTTAGGACGTAATCCATATTTTTCATTGTCAGTGTGTAGTTATGAAAGATACATAGCTGCTCTAAAAAAATGTTTTACTTGTACATTTTTCCAAAAGCCCAATGTAGGTTAGTTTTGAAGTTATCGATGCGTAGTGATTTGATTTATAAATGCTGTTAAGGCCACTCATAACTGCTTCTGTTTCTGTTAAAACATTCATTGTGCGGCATTTTTTCTTCAAATTATCTTGCAGCAGAATGTATTTTCCCACAAATGTACTGCTGTGTGATTAATTTTGCATGAGCTTCTTTTAAGGCRGAAAGTGTTGCACGGTCTGTTTTCAAAGAATCCATCACCTTTGGGGAAAACATCGGAGTTTGTTCACTGCAGAGTGGAAGTCCCTTCAGAAAAACTGCTTAAGGCCTAAGGGGGAGCTTGTTCTGAGAGCTGTGCAGGATTGAGCCTTCCATTTTTGGGGTGCTGCAATGGTTTTTGGGGTGCTGCAATGGTTTTTGGKGKGCTGCARTGGTTTTTGGGGTGCTGCAGTGGTTTTTGGTGGGCTGCAATAGGGAAGCTCCTTCCTACCGCTCCATATGCAAGCTTCCCAAGCAGCCTGTGCTCTCTCGCAGTGAATCTCTGTTCCTCTGCCCCAGGCACTTGTTTACTTGATTACTTTATACTTCTCAAGTGCAGAACGGGCACCTCTTGCTGTTTTACCACAAGTTGCTTTCCTCCCCACCACCTCTCTTCAGTTACCATCTTGGGGGATCTTGTGACCACTTGAACTTTCCCCCAAAAAATATTATTAGTTTTTTAGATACGCTTGAGTTCATTTTTCTGACCCCATGGACACTCAGAAAACTGATGCTAAATTAGAAGAACTGATTTATTTCTAGTTTTGTATCTTAAATTCCTAAGCCAGACTCCAGTCTTCAGAAAAAAAAAATTACTGATTTTTACATGCTCGAGGTTACTAGTAATATCTGTAGTTGTTAGCAGACATATGCTGCACGTTTGCGGGTATGGACATGCCAAGCTGTGCCTACATGAACACAGCCATGGTGCTAACATGGTTGTTTTTCATGAGGGATCTCTGGCTAGGGCCTGTCTTCTTTTTTTTAATGCATTTTTGTCTCACCCAACATAACACAGGTCCACAGCTTGACAGCATCGGTGCAGCTCCTTACATATGCACCTCTTCCTGATGTCAGATGTTGCACAGCRCCATTCGCAGTGCCTCTTCTGCACCTGCAGCCACAAAGATAAGTTAGGAGTCACTCTGATTGCTCTGAAAGTGGCGCGTGTCCCTGTCCGAGGGAGTTCACGGGCGTTTTTTCTTTTTCCCAAAAGCACTGAAACAACAATGCGCTAGTATCTGCACATCGTGGCTTAAAGGATGCAATGCAGTCACGCCAGATTTACACGTGTGTGACAAAAATAAAATCCAGATGCATGCAGAGCTCATTGGCAGCATCAGAAATCCTCTGACTCCCTCTCCCATGGAGTGCAGCATTGCCACTGAAAGTGAGCAGCCAAAAGAGCACTTACCCCTGGCTCTCTTTGCACTCCCCTGTGCTCCTTTTTACCTCCATTTACCTTGACCTCCAATTTAYGTCAATACAGGCACAGGTTACGATGAAGGTAGTCAAATGGACATACTAATTTCTGCTTGCTCTTTGCTGTTGCCGTTCTTGTTTCAGTACAGATTTGCAGATGGAATACCTAGAGAAACAGTCTTTCATTTATAGAGAAGAGAAAGAGGCTGGTCAGAGCAGAAGCTGGTAACTTTAGATCGTTAGGATTCATAAAGGGATAATTTTAAAGAATTTCAGAGGCCGCTGCAGAAGACTAATCATTCAGTCAATGTTGATCTTCAAAGTTTGCAAGCACCTTTGAATGACAGGCTTTATACTTATTTTAGACAGAAGATTCTTACCTGTGGTGGGGGAAAGACTGRAATAAAATGGACATTCCCCTCAAAATCATGTCTCAGTTCAAAGTTCGATGAAAGCAATAGAATGAATTCTTGAGACATCAGGGATGCTCCAGCTCYTCATGAACATATTCTGACCAACAGCAGCCTTTGTGTAGATCTGTTTAAACCAGCTGTGCTGCTACAGGAATGAGTGCTGCAAAAAAACTACATCTGTTGAGACAGATTCCCAGCTAGTGTGGAAATGTCCTATATCCCAACAAACCCATGACCTTTTATCCTGGCTACACATRTGTCTTATTGCATCAAAGATAATTCATGGATAACCACAAATTATAAATGTACTGGAGCAGTATAATACTAAAGGGAGCTRTAGGTGCTTTATTAGTCTGATAGTTAATCAGCGCAACCCAAGATGAGAATTTAGTTGTATATTGATATCTCACACCTGCATTATTGTACCGTTAAAATACTCTTGGCTGTGCTATATGTTCCAGGTTATTTAGGAGATCTTAGTTAGTGTGTCTTCAAAAAATACCTGAACTGTGCAGTACTGCATCAATGAATACAGGACAGTATATATAAATGCTGTAATTATAATATAGTTATCTATAAGGGCACAGTGTTTCTTTTTAAAAAATCTTTAAAACATAAGGTTTTCATTTGAAAATAMACTGCTTTGTGCTGCAACAGGAGAATGAATTGTGACAGTCAGAGAATCTGCAGCAGAGAAGCATCAAACTCCCCTTCACGTGGACTTGGTGAACTTGCCAGAGTTCCTGATGATACCAATTATTTTCATATATCACCTTCATTTCCTGTTCTTTTCTGCTCCCCAGCTTCTTAAGTACCTCCAAGAACCTCAGGCAGTTGCTGGTCTCTCTGCTCTATTTCTCTATTTTTCTATTGCTCTATTTATTTAATTTTATTAATTAAATTTATTTATTTAGCAAGCATGGGACTGCGAAACAGCTGGCTCCTTGCACAGTGAATCCACTGCAGGAGCTATTTTAGAGATATGGGGTGATGGCAGCTGTTACTCATAGAACCACTTGTTTTGCCTCTGCTATGTTCTCCTGTAAATTTTACTTTGAGTCAGGAGAGGAGCACCGCATTACAAAAATAATTCTGTAATATTTCAGTCTACTGTGACACAGTAAGAATTTCATTTCAAAAACAATTGGTACTTACAGTCTAATGGTGCACTTATTTGAGCGTTACTTCACATCAGGTTATTTCCCATCGCTTGAAAGGGTGATCAATTATCATGATTCACGTGTCATAAAATAATGCAAAAATAATGAAAATTCCATGGAGATGAGAAATAAATGAAAATATCATTGTGGTATGAATTTTCAGCATTTTGCTCAAACAGGATTTCAAAATGAAGCCTTTCCCCTTCCTTCCTTCCTTCCTTCCTTCCTTCCTTCCTTCCTTCCTTCCTTCCTTCCTTCCTTCCTTCCTTCCTTCCTTCCTTCCTTCCTTCCTTCCT